TATATGTGATGCTTATTACCTTGAGTTGCAAGGTTTTAGGACTCATCTTTAAGAAGCTCTTTTAAAAAAAAATTTTTTTTTGAGTCTCCTTGCATTTTGTACAGGTGATATCCTGTCTCTGATAACAGTTTAATTGTCCTATTTGGAAACCTGTTTGTCTCCGCTTGGAAGCCCCTGGAGAGCAGGATCCATTTCTTATTTGTCTTACTACCACCAAAGCCTGACATATGGCCTGGCACATAGTGCTCAATATAGAATTAATGAAACAATGACCTTAGGAATAGGAAAATTTCAAAATTACAACCAAACTAAGGTCCAGCCAAATGAGCTCCTGCACCTCTCAATTGTAAGCCAGATCTCTTTTATGCAGCCTCTTGTTCAGTGACTCAGTGCCATTTTGAGTAAGGCTCCCATGCTGGACACCACAGGGTGAAGCAGAAAGAAAAGGCAGAAACCTAAGCATAGGGAAGTGTGCAGAAACAGGGCTCAGGCCCACTTGAAGCAATGTTAGAACACTTACATAGTAACTTCTAAATAGGTGCACATTAAAGGGGTGTGTCTGAGAACCAAAAGGAAACAAAGAGCAATCCATGTATACTCTGGCAGCTTGAACCTCCAAATGCTCTATAAACACCCACTCTGTTGTTTGCTTCTTCACTTGTTGAAATAAGGATTGCTTTCTGAAGGAGGTTAGTATGGAACACAGGTGCCCTGGGGAATATACTGCTACTCTACACCCACAAAAACCACAGACAGGGCTGGTGGCTCAAGGGCCAGTTTTACCATTGCCATTAAGGTCACACAGAGGCTGGGAGCCAGAGTGAGGGTGTTTGGCATTTTCTAACGTGGAAAATGATGACTAGAAGCAATGTAAGCATAACACATTTGGAGCAAGGAGAAGCAAAAGTGGGGCTTGGAGAAGACCCATGCGGGAGAATCCTGGGGAGATGGCAGGGATAATTTGTACTTCCTTAATAGATGTGGAGCATTTCAACTTTGCTAATTAACAGAACAGCAGGCTTGTAATTCTGACAACAGCAGGACACAATTGGGGTGGGATTAGCACTGAATGCCGGTGAAGCATGCCTTTGTCCTTAAGAAGAAGCACAACACCCACGACCCACAACCCGTCTTGGGTCAGATCCATGAAGTTACTACCCCTGATTTTGTTTTTTGTTTTTTCCTGCAGCAACTCCAAGGGCTTAGGGTTTTTTTAGTGTCTTCTCAGGCCTTCTTTAGAGGTAGCAAGCCTGTTTCAACTGGCTTTTTTTTTTAAAAGGTGGAAACAGGTCTATGATTGGTCTAGAGCAGGAGTGTCCAGTCTTTTGGCTTCCCTGGGCCACATTGGAAGAAAAAGAATTGTCTTGGACCACACAGAAAATACACTAATACTAATGACAGCTGAAAAGCTAAAAAAAAAAAATTGCAAAAAAATCTCATAATGTTTTAAGAAAGTTTACAAATTTGTGTTGGACTGCATTCAAAGCTGCCCTGGGCTGCATGAGGCCTGCGGACCACAGGTTGCACAAGCTTGATCTAGAGTTTATTTTCTAATAGTTCTATCACGTATACTTTATACCAGAAATGGCAATGATAATGTAAGCTTACTTCCTTCAAGAGGTTAAACCTCATGAAAATTCTTCCATCACTCTTCTCCCATTTTGGCATTTTGGGCTACCTGCAAAATGGGGTGATCTGCCCCTGAACATCATCTATAAACTGATTCTGGGGGAAAAATTGGCTAGGAAGCCAGTGAAATGTTTTATCTTCCCAAGGTGGAATGAATCTTGTTAGGGAATTTATTCCCAGTACTTCCTTTTAAAGCATATTGATCTGATAATCTGAGGATCTTAAAGGCCAACAAATATGAAGAGAAGGTTTAGAAAGTCTCAGAGTATTAGAGCTGAGTAGTACCCTGGAGGGCATCTACTCAGATAGCCAGTGCTTGGTGTGACAGATGAAGTCATTGACCTTGTGTAAGTCATTTTAGGAAGGGTCAGCGTTTCATTCATTCATTTATTCTTTCATCAAATATTTATTGAACATTTACCATGAGTCTACCAAGACATGTACCGGATAGTGAAAACATGTTGCTATTTCATTGGTCCTGTTTGAATTAGCATTCAATGAACTTCTCCTTTATTATATATTCCAACAGCTGGTTTCACAAGGGCCCTGGGGGAATTGATACGCTACATAGGATCTTTAGCCAGTGCAAATAGGTTTTATATGCAAGGTCACCAATTTCTGAGCTGCTGGGCTAATTAGCTCTACTTGGCTTTACATAATACATATATTGTTGAAAAGTTATATGTAGTTTAATTTTTGGCAAATGAAAAACTAATTCAAATCACTAGGGGAACTTTTATTTGAAGAGACTCTGGAGCAAATCCTTTTATAATGTGAAAATTTTAGTTGTAATTGGAAATGATTGTCCCCTAGTTTGGATTTTGTAAATCTGGACACTTTAGGTTTTCTTATGGTGGACACACAACCAGGCACAGCAGTGGCCTCTACAGGGTCGGGGAGGACCCTGACCTGGGAAGTAGAAGCCCTAGGAATCCTAGAACAGCCCAACCCGAGGCACTGATATTTGCTGGAGCCCATGACTGCAAGCTGCATGGACAAACTGCACACCTTCTCTCCGGTCCTGGGCCCTGGTGGGGAGAAGGAAGAGGTGGGGCACAATGAGTGGGTGTGATGGATGAGACTTGGAGCTTCCTCTTCCTCTCCAAGGGTGGGAGTAGAGAGGAGATAGGATGGGGAACCTTTTGCTTCCATTATAGCAAATTTGAAACCCTTTCTTAAGGTCTTAGGGCTATTTAGAATTAGGACCCTCTTGTGTACTGCAACACAGTAGGGGACAAGAGGGAGGACAGAAGAAAAAAATAGGACAAGAGTTTAGGAGAAAAGAGAGTTATGTGGACTCTTTTTATATAGTAAATCTCATTAGTTTGGGCCTTGCTATTTTTGAACTTGTAAATAATCTGAAAGAAGATAAGACTGAAATTTAACTTTTATATTACATTTTTTTTCTATAGAAATTAGTAGAGTGCATGGTTACATAGAGGAAAGTGTTTTAAAGTTAATGTATAGAAAGATATATTTCACAAAGGAAAATCATGTATTTTGATACAGAAGCATCATTTTTCACAAACAAGTCATGTATTAAAGATCCTTGTCTAACAGATAAAGCCTAATAGATTGCCAAGGAAGCTAAATGTCTCCTCGTTGCATAAGGATAAAAAAATACTTTATATATCTGTTTGTAAATTCTATAATAATTTATATTGATCCTAATTAACCTCTATTAGTGAAATTTAATTGTTTTTCTGTGGAGAAGATAAAATTAGAGCATAAATATCTGTAGCAACTAAGGATAGAAAGTTCAAAATAATGCTTATAGGCTTTGAAGTTCAAGTATTCTTTTTTATGGTATTACTTTGTTTTCCTATTGTTCAAGGTCTTCTCAAAGTGAGCCTTGTAGCTAGTTCTCTGTCAGCTAGTAAAGAGAAACAACTGGTGAATAAAAGACTTGCAGTCTTCATTTGGTGCAAAATGAAAGAGAAGAAATAGGCAAAATGGTCAGAGACACTTAGGAAATTTGCTTTAGGTTTAGGGTATGACCTCTGATCATAGACGCTGGCATTCTGAGGACATATCTCTCTTCCTCCTTGATTGAGTGTGCAGTTGGCCCACTTCACTTCCCTAGGCCAGTGATCTTACGCCTGGCTTGGAATTTTATTGCCAAAATTCCCAGGTGGGTTTCTTGAAACAGTCAATGTTTAGAGATTGAAGGATTGAGTGGGATTGTCCTGCCCAGCATGTTGCTTTCCTCTGTAAATTGTCAAATTTGGACCCCAAGGGTATAAGCCAAGTGGAGAAAGGCACCCGAGGGGGCATCCATGGTATCTGGTTCTGCTCCCTGAGCTGACTTACAACCGCTCACCTTCTGGGGTCTATCTGTGTCGTATCCCTAATGGTGACACATAACAGAGACCTCAGTTAGAGCTCGAATTGCTGTAAGCGTGGGTGGCTCTCCCTGAGAGTCCCTGTGGGGTTCTTAGGTTAAATGATAGGGGTGCAGTGGGCTAGCCTGGGGTTTATGGATGTGGAAGCTGGGTCCTGACTTCCCACACATCCCACACTGGGCTGGATTGTCCTTTGCCTCCTGAGGCTACTGTTCCTCCAGGCACATCTTTAGTTTCCGTTCTTTGGGAGCCCCGAGCTTCTGCCTCCAGCCCCCAAAACAGGAACTCAACTGGAACGTAAAAGGACTTTCTAAATGGGAAGCAAGATTTAGAAAGAGAACAAGTTAAACAAGGTAGTGCATTTCCTTCCCAGGAGATTTGTGTCTCCCCATCTCCTGTCTATCGTGGACTGATGATGATGACATTGAGGAGGGGAGGAAGAGGTGGGGAGAGGAATATTGTCATCAACTTTGCTTCCTTCTGTAGGAGTTTTGTGGTTTACTTTCCTTGTTTGTAAAATAAAGACTAATAGTTGTGCCAGAGGAAAGGCAAAAAGGACTTTGTAAATCTTTATTTAGGACTTTGTAATCCATCTTGATATCAGTTAACTAATTCAACAGATATTTCCTGGGTGCTGAGTATGTTCAAGACACTGTGCTAGGCACTAGAGGTACAAACATGATTTTGTAAAAGTCCTCCATCTTCAAGTTGCTCAACAGCAACAGGGCAGGTTTTTTTTTTTTTTGCCCCCAGGGCATGGAGGTTTGTCCACATGAGGAGGGTGATTTGGATTGTCCTCTGCTTGAGAAGGACGGGGGGGTTGTAGCCCTGGTCACCCCTGTAGCTGGCATCGTGTGGAAGTATCCCTTCTGTTGCGGACCCTCTCCTGGTCCATCGGGCTGGGCTGTAGGACCTGGACAAGGCGGGACTTGCCGACTGATGATGGGATTGGGAGACTGAGGATGGGACCCTGCGATTCAGCCAGCTGGCTCCTCTCACCTTGATTCCTTCTGGTTTGTTTTCCCACAGGGTCTTTTCGGAATGATGGTTTGAAAGCTTCTGATGTCCTTCCTATTCTAAAGGAAAAAGTGGCCTTCGTGTCTGGTGAGTATTTGTGGGACTTTCCTTTGTAAAGGACCTAGAGAAGAAGTGTGTGCGCACATGTGTTCAGATTCACTTGTGTGTTAGTGGGGGAGAAGTAGGGGACGCGAAGTTATGCTTGGGGCAGCTGCTTCCTTTCTGCTGAGGCAGACGGAGAGAGAAAGGAGGGCTCTGGCCCCAGCTGGGCGTTCTAAAGGACACCCAGAACCAAAGGGACATTCCCCGAGCTTCCCATCCAACCTCAGTCCCCTGGCCTGGCCCTGTGAGAGTTGCTTCAACTGGAGAATCTGGGCACTTGGCACATTCCCTGAGGTTTTATTTCAGTTCATTTCTGCATGGATCAGGGACAGGAGATTTTTAAAGGAGTTTTTGTTTCCTCCTTTTCTTTCTTTCCTGGCAAAGGGAACTCAAGTGAGGGTTTGTGTTTATATGTTTAGTTTTTGTTTTTTTTCTGAATAATGACTTCCAAATATTTATATGACTTCTCTCTCCTATACATCTTGTGCACAAAGACCTCTTAATGTCTCACTCTGGGGTCAGCAATCTGTAGCTGGTGGGCCATCCACCAGTTTTTATAAATAAAGTTTTATTGGTACACAGCAATGTATATTTGTTTATGGAGTGTATTCGTTTTCCATTGATGGTGCAACAAATTTCCATAAGCTTGGTGGCTTAGAACAATAGAAACTTATTATTGCACAGTTCTGGAAGCCAGAAATCAGTTTCATGGGGCTGAAATCTAGGGGTCAGCAGGGCTGTGCTTCCAGAGGTTCTAAGAGAAAATTGGTTCCTTTCCACTCCCAGCTTCCAATGGCTGCTGACATTCCTTGGCTTGTGGCTGCATCATTCCCATCTCTAACTCCAGGGTCAAATTGCCTTCTCCTCTTGCATCTGTGTCAAATCTTTCTCTGTCTCTCTCTTTTAAGGATACCTGTGACTACATTTAGGGTCCACCTAGATAATCTAGAATAATCGCCCTATCTCAAGATGGTTAACTTAATCATATTTGCAAAGTCTTTGCCATGATGTATTTGTGGACAATAATAATTCAACCTACTATAGATAGTGTTAATGGCTGCCTTCTCATTACAACAAGAGTTGAGTAGCTATTGCAGAGACCATTTGGCCCATTAGCCTGAAATATTTAATATCTGACCCTTCAAGAAAAAGTCTGGTGACCCCTGATATAATTGAAGCCAAAGACTGGCCAGAGCCCCTAAGGCAGTCATTCTCAAACAATAAGGTATGCCACAATCACTCTGGGTGCCTGTTCCAGGGCTCCACTCTAGGCCTCCTGGATCAGAATTTCTGGTAGGGTCTGAGGCAGGGGCTGGGGTAGACAATGTTAGTAGCCGAAGATCATATTTTGAGAAACATGCCATGTGCTTATACCTCATGGACCAAAGCTTTATTTCTGGGTGATTTTGGTGATCTACAAGAAGTAGCAGTGCAGTCACAGAGCAAGAGCTATTCCAGTCCTGTAGAGCACAGGTTCATGCCACAGGCACTGTTGGTTTGGCTGTTGGGCGACAGACAAAACAGAGAGAAGAGGAGGTGGGAAGGGGATAAAGGAAAGGGGAAGTTAAGCAGCAGTTGTCTCCCACCTCATTGGAGAAAGGGCGAGAGCCTGATGATTCAGAGTGTAGGTGTGAGAGGTGAGGGCAGGCATGCAATGGGAGTGTGCAGAAGACTTTATAATGACTAAGTGCATTCTATATTATTGTAATTATTGTTAGCTGTAGTAGCAATAGTAATTTATTATTGTCATTGCTGTTAGACGAGAGTGACCTGGCAGCTGCCTCTTCCCATTAGGGACTAGTATATCTTATAAGGTAATGAGCCCCCTGCCACTGAAGATGTTGAAGTACAGGCAGAACAACTCCTTGGCAGGATTATGCAGCAGTGATTTGGGTACGGGGAGAGGCATAGGTGAGCAACCTTTAAAACCTTTAGAAACTTGGATTCCATTTGCTTGCTAAGCATATGGGAAGACCTTGTGCAGAAATCCTAGAGGCCATTGAGCAGTGCCAGGCCTCTGATTTCTGCTGATCCCCATAGCCTGGGCTCCCAAGGATGTGGTCCACAGCCCTCTGGGAGCCCAATCTTATCTTTTCTTCCTTCTTTTTATAGTCCTTAGTTAACCTGATGTTCTTCCTGTCCCCTGGATATCCTGCCAATCCTTCCATTTCTCTTGTGCCTGACACTTCTTTCCCTCTGCAGTGCCTTCTCCATGCCTTCTGCCAGTTTGAGCCTCTCCTCTCCTTCCAGAGTCAGTTCCTACTTTGCCTCCTCCAGGAGACCTTCCTGGATCTAATGTATTCCTCTGAGCATCATCCTATTCCACATCAGTTTGGGGCATATGCATGCACAGTACACTCTAACGTGGAGACCCTTGCTTGATGTTCATGGTTTATTTTTTCCCAAGTAAATTCAGTCAGAGCCCTGGGCGGAGCCCCAGAAAAAAACCTTCTCAGGTGGTAGGGGCTAGTCCTAATGGAGCTCATAGAAGCAATGTGGCCAGGAAGGCAGTCAGGAATGAGGCAGGTAGAAAATTCCCTGAGCAGGACGAAGGGGGCTGGGAGCATAGCTCTCCCCCATTTGCCAATGTAAGCCGAACAGCCTGGGTTCAGCCTTATTCAACTGCACCTGCGCTTGTGGTGCCAGAAACTTCTGGGCTTAGGGAACATTGCCCTTCCATGTCTGGGAAGGACACTGAATATACTGGGAAGATAATGACTGGCTGCATCTAAAAAAACAAAAACAAACCCCAAAACCAAAAAAAAAAAAAAAAAAAAAAACCCAAACCAACCAACTCTTACATCCTGAGCTTTTAAAACATAAAAGATAAAACACAAAAATAAAACAAAATAAAGAAACCTATAATTAAATAATGCAGTTTAACAGTTGGATTTCTTTCTGAGAAGAAGAAAGCACTGCAAGGAAGGTGGTGAGTAGAGAAACAGGCTGTTTGTTAATTGAGCCTGCCCTCCCCTGCTAGTACCCAGCCTTGGCCAGGCGAAAAGAAAACCATGCTGCCATGGGAACGCACATTGGGAATAATCCAGGGCAGCCCAGAAGCTTCTGCATGTTGGGCGTTTGCATGTCTGTGTGACAGGATTTGGGGCTGTCCCTCAGTGAGCCTCCATTGTTCCAGCACTGCTCCATTCTGCTCTGTTATTCACAGCTCACAAGTTCCCCTTGGCCCTCTCTGATATCCTTTGTACTACTTATAAGTCACAGCACCCACTGTCCCTTTTATCCAGCCTTCCCATGTAGGGTCTATTTCACCCTATTGTCTTCATGTGCATACACGCCCACCTTTTGGCCACCTCCTCATGATTCCTCTCTGCCTCCTTATCTCCCACCAATGTGGTTTTCCTCACTGGTTTCCACTGTTCCCAGGGAAACCTTATGTTGCTGTGGCACAATCTTTTGTACCCTGGACCTGCATCTCTCAAAGTGTTTTCCAACAGTTCCACAGGATGATCCTCTACAAAGAAAATGGGGTTCTATTCTCAAAGAAGTTTGGGAAATGCTGGACATCGTAGCTCTCCTTCTTGGAGAATTACAATGTCCACTAAAGTACATTAACATTTTAAAGCTCTGGAAAGTCCTGCAGTAAAGAACTTTTTTTTTTTTTTTTTTAATCTGGCATTTTCCAAACCATAGAATAACCTCATTCCCTAAAAATTTATGTGTCTGTGATGTGTATTCATTAACATCTTGCAGGTCTATTGTTATATTGACTTTATCGGGGGTCCTTATACTTCATCTCTGCTTATTGTCCTCTGTAATTTCAGCATCTATGTCAATTATTGATCAAATCCTAGAGCTTCATTGCTGCTCAGCCTCGTTGGTACCAAAGTCCTCCACCTACCTACCGTGATTATGCACGTCCAAGATCTTGACCCTTGATATGTCTATCTGTGGTTTTAGTCCCTTATTTTGACCCTTTCTGATATCCTCTTGTCATTTGGGAGAGGATGGATATGAGAGGAACAAAATCAACACCTTTCCCTCTTTTCTGGGATGTCATCATCCAACAGGACATCTCCCACCCTCGCTGGGCATACCCCATTTATATGGTGCATTAGCTCCATTCTGCCTTCACTCAGCTTGGAGCCTGGCACAGATACTGTAGCCAAAGCTTTCAACAGAGCTTTCGCTGTGCCCTAGTACCCTGTCAGCAACCCTGAAGCTCATGTCCTACCCAGTCCTACTGTCATTCTTGAGAGAAGATCTCCAGTGATGGTTTCATTTCCCTCTCCTCAGTACCCAAAGCCTACCCTGACCCTGGACTGATTCTTGTCTACTGTTCTACCCAAAGAACCATGTCCCTCAGGCAGGCTGAACTCCTCCCTCTCTACCACCTATCTCCATTTCCTCCTCCAAAGAACTGTGTCCCTCAGGCAGGCTGAACTCCTCCCTCTCTACAACCTATCTCGATTTCCTCCTCCAAAGAACCGTGTCCCTCAGGCAGGCTGAACTCCTCCCTCTCCACCAAAGAACCATGTCCCTCGTGCAGGCTGAACTCCTCCCTCTCCACCACCTATCTCCATTTCCTCCTCCAAAGAACCATGTCCCTCGTGCAGGCTGAACTCCTCCCTCTCCACCACCTATCTCCATTTCCTCCTCCAAAGAACCATG